GTGAGACCCCGTCTCTACTAAAAATAGAAAAAATCAGCCGGGTGGTGTATACCTGTAGTCCCAGCTACTTGGGAGGCTGAGGCAGGAGGATCACTTGAGCCCAGGAGTTTGAGGTCATAGTGAGCTGTGATGACATCACTGCACGGTAGCCGGGGTGACAGGGTGATCCTCTGTCTCAAAAAGAAAAAAAAAAATCACCTGGTAAAAGAATATTTAATGATTCAGAAAGATGTTTACATATTTTGAGATAAACACCTGTGGAAACAAAAAAAAGATGTTTGCATATGTTGTTAAACAGACAAAATATGTATTGTACCACCATAGTTACATTTATTATATGATTAGAAGAGAAGGATATGTATCAAAATATTTCTCTGAGTGGTGCTGTTATATTCATCTTTTTGTTTACCTATATTCTCTTATCCACAACACAAAGAAATATTACTTTATAAAAGAAAAATAATAAAGTCTTGGTTAAATAGAGTAGGAAAATAGGCATATTTGTATTACTTCTACTTTTTACCAACCATCACTGCCTCATACTTAGCTTACATTATCATTATTAATGGCTACGTTTATTGAGATCTGGCCATCAATCAGGTTCAAAGCATATACTACCTGTATTCCCCACCACAGCTTTGTAAAGTACCATTTTTACCTACAATTTGCACATGAGAAAATTAAGACTGGAGATTAAGTAATTTGCCCCAAATCAAAGTTTGTAAATTGCGGGAAAAGGATTCAAACTCAGCTCTCTCTGGTTGCAACGCCTAAGTGTCCCCTCCTGCCTGTTGCCTTTCTCCAGCTATTGTCAAAAAGCATGTACTTAGGACCTGATTTTACCTGACTTTTCAGGATTACCCAAAGTTCCCAGCTCTTTTTGAGTTATAGATTCCTTTCAGAATATGAGCTTTAGGAAAATGCACATAAAGTTAAAATGCACATAAGGATAAAACTTTTACATGGCTCATCTGTGGACCCCAGTTAAACCCTCAAGGTAAAATATTAATAAAGAGAACTTCATAAACTGGCCAAGCTCTAGGGACACAGACCCAACAGGAAACACATCTAGCTGTATACAGTCACTAAGTCAACAGCAAGACAATTAGGAATTGGCATTAACTCTAGGCGAAGGGTAAGAACCAATGAAATATGGGAGTGAGCCAAGGTAAGTATAAAATGAGGGTGGAGACCAACAAGGCTGTTCTGGAAATTCTAAGGGCTAGCTGACAGGGTGAGGGAAACTGTCTTCCCTTCCATGGCTTCCCAGGGGTGGCAAGGTTTGGCAGGCCAGGAGGGAAAGGCCTTCCATCAGGAAATGGAGGCTAAATGAACATTCGACACCAGTGGAGGCCGGGCATGGTGGCTCATGCCTGTAATCCTAGCACTCTGGGAGGCCAAGGCGGGAGCTTGAGCTCAGGAGTTCGAGACCAGCCTGAGCATCTCTACTAAAAATAGAAAAAATTAGCTGGGCACGGTGGTGCGTGTCTGTAGTCCCAGCTATTCGGAAGGCTGAGGCAGGAGGGTCGCTTGAGCCCAGGAATTTGAGGTTGCAGTGAGCTAGGCTGATGCCACGGCACTCTAGCCAGGGTGACACAGCAAGACACTGTCCCTTGGGCTGATTGCTTTTAGTCAGAGGCGGGCCGTTCCGGGTGGCTGTCTGTTTGGGGTGGGCACTCTTTGGTCACCTCTCATACTGTAGTTTTTAACAAATTTGCTTTGCTTTACAAATCCAAACCTTTAGGTCTGAGAAACGAGGCGCCTTGTGGGATACAGCCGCTATTGTCTTTTAGAGATGCCCTCCAGAGGTGCAGCAGCTTTTGATATGCAAACCAACACGTTCACATATTCCTTCAGGGCAAAGCTCTGCAAAACTCCTGAGACATATTCTGTCTCCAAATATATTTATATTAATTCATGGAGCAACAGATCCTGAATTTCAGAGTCCTATTCTTTCCAAAAAGATAACTTACAAAACACCTCTCCTTGACCCATTTGGTTCCTTGACCCGTTGCTTGGTTCTGTTTCTTTCCTTTATTCCCTCCTCTTTACTTCCAAACTTGGAGTCTTAAATCACCTGTGGATCCAGAAATTCCACTTGTGGATATATGCCCAAGAGAAATGAAAAGATATGTCTACCCAAAGATGCGTACATGAATGCTCATAATAGCCAAAAAGTGGAAACAACCCAAATGCCCATCAACTGATAAGTGGATAAACACAATGTGGTATATATATGCAATGGAATATTATTCATCCATAAAAGGAATGAAATATTGATACAGGATCAGACTCGATGACTCATGCCTATCATCCCAACAGTGTTGGGAAATAAGGCAAGGGGATGGCTTGAAGCCAGGAGTTCGAGACTGGTCTGGGCAACACAGTGAGATATAAAGAAAGAAAGAGAAAGAGAGAGAGAAAGGAAGGAGGAAGGAAGGAAGGAAGGAAGGAGGAAGGAAGGAAGGAAGGAAGGAAGGAAACAAAGAGAAAGAAAGAAAAGAAAGAAGTACTGATACATGTTGCAACATGTATGAACCTTGAAAACATGCTAAATGAAAGAAATCAGACACAAAAGGCTACATATTATATAATTTCATTTATATGAAATGTCCAGAATAGGCAAATCCATAGAGAGAGGAAGTAGATTAGTGGTTATCAGGGGGATGGGGAGAGAGGAAATCTGGAACTGACTTTTAATAGGTATGAGGTTTCTTTTTGTGTTGATGGGAATTTTCTGAAATTAGTGGTGATGGCTGCATGATATAGCAAAAGTAATGAAAACCACTGAATTATACACTTTAAAATGGTAAATTTGATGTTATATGAATTATACCTCAATGTAAAAGAAGTTTTTAAAAGTCACCTGTGGTTCGAGTCACCTAACTTTTCAAAGCTTTTCAGTTTTCTCATCTGTGAAAGTTGGATCCCGGAGCAGAGATCACTGTAAATAAACAGTACCAAGTATTGTTCCAGCAGAGTCCTCCAACAAGGTCTGTGGGCTGCGGAGTGGAGAGGTCATCTGTTCCTGGTCCGTCCTCCCTCTCTCTGAGCCAACCTGGAGTCACGGAACTGAGAGTGTTAGAAATTATTCAACTCTCTTGTTCTGTTGATAGGGAAATCATAGCCTTGAAAGAAGGGGGGACTTTCTCAAAGCCACAGAACAAGTCAGTGGAATTGCTGAGCCTACGATCCTGTATTCCTCTTTCTAATCGTACATATTGTTTCCTAAACTGGATTAAGCAAACCATCTCTCTAACTCTACTGGTAGCACCCCGCCCCCTTTTTTAAAAAAAAAAAAAGGGAAATAAATAGGATGATATGACAGGCAGGAGCTGGGGAGGAGACAGTTAAGGGCTGTTTGGGATAAGATAACTACAGATGACCAGCATGACCTGGAACCTGGTTAAGAAGGCAGTGGCAGGGGAGGCTGGGAGAGGGCAAGGGAAGAAAAAAATGGGTACAGCTATGGGGTACAACGTACACTGTCCGGGTGATGGGTGCACTAAAAGTCCAGATCTCACCACTATATATGAAATAATATTAATATATACTTGTAATGGAATTCAACTTGGATCCCCTAAATCTACTAAAATTTTCTCAAAAGGAAAAAAATACTAAAAAGAATGGCATGTGGAGAGCTGGGGAAATGCACTGGGTCAGAGGGCTCCAGGCAGTTACACTGGTAGTGTTTGGGAAGGTTCTCATTGCTGCATGGGCTGCCAGGCCAGGGGGCTCCTGTGTACACAGTGCGGATGGGTGCAGCCCCAAGCACTCATCATACTCTACAATAAAGGAAGCAATCTACTTCCCAATAAAGATTGTTTACTAAGGTCAAAGTGCCAGCAGCTCTCTATAATCACGCATTCCACAGTGTTTACCACGTAGAGATGCCAGGCTCTGGCAGATACATTCACGGAAACTACAGTTAAGTTTCCACCTTCCTAGTGTGCGGGAGTGCAGATTCTGGCAGTTCAAGATTCACTGGAGGTGATAGCATCTGGACCATCGTGTGCATTTCTGACAGACAACCCAAGAAAGCACAGGCTGGAGCCAAAGAAAGCACATTAAAAGTGCCAAGAGAAAGATCAAATGGGTTGAAAGGAAATAGATTTTTAAGGTTAAGCTTCTATGAAATGGACGAAAAGTAAAATGTTAATTAGAGGTTACCTCTGAGTACAGGATTATGGGTGATTTTAATTGTCTTCTTTGTGTATTTTCTACAGTGAACATGCATTGCTTTTGTAATAAAGGAAAAAGCATGAAAGGTGTGTTGTTTTCAGGAGAGGCCTTAGAATGCCAAAACGAGAGAGTCCTTGAAATCTAAAGCTGGGAAAGACTTTAGTGCAGAGATTGTGAAATCCGAGTCTACAGGTACCAGACCCACCATGCAGACGAGGGAAGCAGGCCGAGTGGCCGTGCAAGTGGATGGTCCACTGGGAAGCACCGGGGAAGGGGACAGAAGGGTAGGGTGAGGGCCAGGGGGACAGGGAGGCAGGTGGGCAGCTGTCCCTCAGCCCCAGCCCTTCCTGACATGGAGGAATGTGGGCAGAGAAGCTAAATAAATCTCCTAAACAGTAAAGGTCAGGCTTGTATGTCAAATGTTTGAGAAAACTACCACAGAAGGCAGAGAAAACATGTCTGCAAGCAGTAGGTTGTCCCTGGGCTGTCTGTTTGCAGTCTCTGCTTTAGCTCCACGCAGAAATCTCGTCTTAGCTCTTAGTAGACCAAGGTGAAAAGAGAATTCTCACCTTCTCCCTGCTGGGGCCCAGCAGCATCTGGAACACATTGATCCCCATAATCCTTGTTCTTGAGAAATATTAATGACTTAATCTCCCAAGCTTGTTCCCGCTCCCATGCAGCTGTCTCAGTGCAATTTACAGACCAGACCCAGAGAAGTCCCAATTGGAGGGGAACACTCAACTTGCCGCAGACGGCAAAACCAGGTGCAGGTCTCAAGCTCAGCCCCTCCACAGAAGTAGCCAGTGACATTCCCAGCCATGGGGGAGGTGACAGCAGAGGAGGTAGAGAAGTTCCTGGACTCAAATATTGGCTTTGCCAAACAGTACTACGACGTCCACTACCGGGCCAAGGTCATCTCAGACCTCCTCGGGGCCAAGGAGGCAGCCGTGGACTTCAGCACCTACCACTCCCTGAGCAGCGTAGAGGAGAGTGAAATAATTTTTGATCTCCTGCGGGACTTTCAGGAGAACTTACAGACCGAGAAAAGCGTCTTCAATGTCATGAAGAAGCTGTGCTTCCTCCTGCAGGCAGACCGCATGAGCCTGTTCATGTACAGAACCCGCAACGGCATCGCGGAGCTGGCCACCCGGCTCTTCAATGTGCACAAGGACGCTGCCCTTGAGGACTGCCTGGTGATGCCGGACCAGGAGATTGTCTTCCCTCTGGACATGGGCGTCGTGGGCCACGTTGCACACTCTAAAAAGATCGCCAACGTCCCCAACACAGAAGAGGTACTCTCTTCCCCAGGAGAGACAGGGCAGTGAGGCCTTATCCCATGGGGTTCTGGGGTGCACGTGGGGTGGGGAGCTGTTGGCCATGGCCACCAACGCAGGGCTGGTGACATCATGGTGCTTTTTTCTTTCTTACTTTACTTATTTACTTCTCTTTACTTCGAAAAAAAGTTTCAAACTTAACAGAAGAGTTTAAAATAATACAAAGAACTGTGTATCTTTCATCCAAATTTACTAATCCTTATGATCCTGCCACCTTTGAGCTCTCTCTCCATTTTTTTCTGACCCATTTGGGAGGAAGTTGAGGACATCATGACCTTTTGTCCCTAAGTACTTAACTGTGTATTTCCGGAACAAAGACATTTCTTCCCTATCCACAGTACAATGATCAAATTCCGGAAACGTAACATTAATATAACACCATTATCTAATAAACAGTTCATATTAGATTTTTTCCGATAGTCTCAATTATGCCCATGTGGCACTGTCTCTCAGTCTCCTTGAATCTGAAAGTTCCTGAGTCTGTCTGAAGGATACAAACCAAATATTCTGCAGAAATGTCCCTGCATTTGGGTGTGTCTGACATTTCTTCATGATCAGATTCAGGTCCTGCATTTCTGGCAGGAATAACACAGCAGCGATGTGTTTTTCTTCGTGCTTTACATCAGAAGGCATAATGGCAGTCAGTCCCATTACTGGAAATGTTAACATTGATCACTTGGGTAAGCACTTGGCTCTTTCTCCTAAGAGTGCAGCGTTCCATGGGATTCTAAGGGCAGTTCTGACAAAGACCTCTTTGATCAGCTGGTGCAAATCACTCCCCGTCTCTGGACATTGGCTTTTAAAGGCTGTATGTAATGCAGTTCTCCATGTAGCCCTCTGCCCAGGCCAACTCCTACTCATCCTTTAGATCTCAGCTTAAAAGTCCCTTCCTCAGGGAGGCCCTCCTTGATCCCCCTGTTATAGTCTCCTCCCTAAAACCACTTATCACAGTGAGGCCTGAGGCCGGGGACCATCTCTGCTTTATCCACCAGGCATTTACCCCAGGAGGCAGCATAGTGTCTAGTATAAAGCAGGTGCTCAGAAAATACTTGGCATAAAAGATTCACTATCAGGCTGGGTATGGTGGCTCACGCCTATCATCTCAGCACTTTAGGAGGCTGAGGTGGGAGGATCGCTTGAGCCCAGGAGTTCAAGGCTGCAGTGAATTATGATCACGCCACTGCACGCCAGCCTGGGCAACAGAGTGAGCTTCAGTCTCTAAAAGAAAAAAAAAAAGATTCACAGTCAAGTAATTATGCACTCATTTCTTTAGACCTGTCTCACCCAAAAGAATGTCCCACCACGGCAGGACCCAGCCACATCAGGAGCTGTGTTCAGTCATTCAAGATTCAGCCCCTGGACATTGTGTGACTTTGTGCTTACCTTACCTCTGGCCTTATTTCAGATTAAGGGTCTTAAAGTTAAAGAGAGGGGAGCAAGAGGCTTCAGAGGCTGTCTTATCCAATCGCTTTATTTAATAGATAAAGAAACTAAGCACAGGCGATCCTGGGCAGGGGGTCCCCTGGGGCATGCAGGGGTAGGGCAATGGTACTCCACTCAGGGTGCTTTCAACTCTCTAGACTTTAACTGTAGCCAAGATGGATTGTCTCACCCATTGCACTTGATAACAATCTTATGTCGTAACTCTCATTACGCCCGTTTCACAGATGATGAAACTGAAACCCAAAAAGCTTTGGTAACGTGCTCAGGGTTACACAGAGAAAATGGCAGACTGGGAATTTGAACCCAGGTGCTCTGGCCTTGAGCCCGCACTTTCCCCACTCTGCTACCCTGTACTCCCTCCTTATCTATAAAGTGAGGGCATTGCACTGGGTATTATTGAAGAAAGGTCATTTTGAATCATACAGCAGAGAGTTAAGCTCTTATGCTTTGAAGTCAGATCTGGGTGTGAATTCATGACTCTGTTACTTTCTAAGAATATGGCCTTGGCAAATCATTTAGCTTCTCTGTGCTCATTTTCTAATTTACGAAATGGGGTGATAATAGCCACCTCTCAGCTTTGTTGTAAGGATTAAACTAGGGAATTACTTCTTACGTAGCAGTATTCTTGTCACATTGTAACAGCAAGCTCTTGCTTGTGAGTATTATGACTATTTTGATGTTGAGGATCTATTTCAAGTGATGGGTGCTGTACCAGGTCTGTGTGGAAACTGAAGAAGAATCCAGTCTCGTCCTTGAAGCTTTCAGTTTAGATTCCGTTTGTGGGAATGCAAAGAAGAGAGATGCTGAGAGTTTCTATAGACTCTGGTGTTAAGAGGGGTTGAGGATTTAGGAAGGTTCTCTGATTCTAAAAGATTCTAGCTTACCAGTTTGCTGAGTTTCTGTGCTAAGGGATGGAGAGTTGCTTGCTGTTCAACCCTAACAATTCACCCTGGAAGCCATGCCTGACCTTCCCTGGAAGCTTTCGGGCCTGGGTCAGTCTGCCTGGCCAATGACTCATGCCTGGGGGGAAAGTCAGTCCAGGCCAGCCATCCTTGTGTACTTGGTGTTTGCATGTGTTTGCTTCGGAAAATCTTACTCAATTTATGGCTCTGGGCAGGACTCCAGGAGTCGGGTGGAGGAGGAGGAGGAAGGTGTTTGTGAATTGAGGGCTGGGTCCTCCCTGAACCACCACTAAGTGATACTCTTAGCCTGCAGTGCTCTCAAAAAACCTGGGAAATTGTTGCAATCATTGCATTGTTGCAATGTGAAATCAAGAATGGGGTTTTTCAGGACTGTGCTGAACCTCTTCACCCCCTATAAGATGGCCAGTTAGGCTTGAATTTTAGATAAACAAACAATAAAATTTTAGTATAAAATAAATTTTAGTATTTTGTCCCATGCAATATTTAGGACATACTTACACTACAAAATGATTTACTGTTTATCTGAAACTCAAATTTAACTGGGCATCCTGTAGTTTTATTAATAACTCTGGAAACCCTACTTGGCCATTCAGGATTTATTTCCCCTTTCTCTGAGCAGGAAAGCCTATGAAGTCTGTCTGTCCCTGTCTGTGTTACTCCCTGCTGGCCCCCAGCATCTAGTCCAGTGCCTGGAGCAGAGTGGGTATTCATTCAGTTTACTGAGCGAGTGGACAACTAAATGCCAGTCCTTCCCCAGCACTTCCTGTGGCCAACAAATCTCATTTCTGAAGACTGGACCTGAGAAGACTCATCTCTAGAGACTCTCACATCTGTTGTCTGCCCCTGCTCTCCTTCTTTTCCTATGACACCTGGGACCCAGCATGCTAGACCAGAAAAATCTCAAGGAGGACCTGATCCAACATGCTGACTTTACCAAAGGGGAAACTGAGGCTCCTGGAGGTTTCAACTACTGACAACGTACTGAGCGGTCCCTGAAGCCACTCATAGGACAAGTCCCTCCCTCTCTAGGTGCCCAGGTTATTATCCCCCATGCTGTGGGGGTCTGCTTCGCATTATGGTTTAAATTTGGGCTCATGTTTTACGTGATATCCCACTATACCATGAAGACCCAATAAGAACAACCTCATCTTACTGATCTTGGCAGATCCAATGCCTGGCACAGAGCCAGTACTTGGTAAATATGAATGAATGATTCAATTAATAAATGAATCAATCAGTGAATCAATGAACCAATGAATGAATGAATGAGTAGAGCAGTTGTGCCACTTACCAGCAAAGGAGTTGTCTATAAAATGGGGAAAATGGGGATGACGACAGTTCTATTTGGCAGGGTTGACGTGAGAGTGAACGAGGTAGTATATCTAAGTTGTCTGGCTCTGGGCCTAGTACATCATCATTATTCAATAAATAGTCTATCTCATCATCACTGTTTTTGCTTTTTTGTTTCTTTGTTTTTAGAGTCAGGGTCTCACTCTGTTGCCCAGGCTGGAGTGCAGTGGCCTGGCCATAACTCACTAAAACCTCTAATTCCTGGGCTCAAGGGATCCTCCTGCTTTAGCTTCCTGATAGCTGGGCCTACTGGGGTGTGCCCTCTCGATCCAGAGAGGGGTCTTTCTATGTTGTCCAGGCTGATCTTGAACTCCTGGCCTTAAGCAAGCCTCCTGCCTCCAACTCCCAAAGTTCTGGGATTACAGGTGTGAGCCACTGTGCTCAGCCCACTGTGAATGTTTGAAAAGGTGAATTGGGGAATCCAGGAATAAGAAGCAACGTTGCATTGCACTTTAAAATCTAAACTCTCTACCATCCTCCAAGGTCCCGCAGGATCTGGCCCCTGCCCGCCTCTCTAACTTCCCTACCCCCTACTCTGCTTCTCCCTCTCCTTCTCTGTGTTTCAGCTACACTGATCTTTTTTCTGTTCCTCCAATGGGCTGAGCTCATTCCTACCCCCTGGCCTTTGCATTCTCTGTGCCGCCTGCTGGGACTGTGCTCCATATGTCTGGCCCCTTTGACCCTTCAGCTCTCTGTTCAGCATTATGTCTTCAATTGGCCTCCCTTTGCCAGGTCAAGAAATCCACCCTTCTTGTTCACTGCTGTAGCCCAGTGTCTAGAAGAGTGCCTAGCATGTAGAAGGCACTCTGTCATTGCTCCCTGAAAGAATGAATGACTCTGGGCTTTCCCCAGCTGGGCTTCTGATTTCTGGAATTTAATATAAATGGTTTGAACTGAAAGGCTTCTAAGTCCCCTTCTGCCTCTAATAATCTGAGGTTCTATGACATGGTTGTTTAGAACACTTAATATGCTGAAAATATAGGAAAGACAATGATTGTGCAGATGTCAGTCAATTGGTAACTGGAGTGCTCACGAGGGAAGTTCCAGGGCTGAGAACTCAGTGGGAAAGAGCATTCTGGTAGATTTAGTAGTATCTGCCTCCGATGCAAGTAAGGCCCCAGTATTTTCTTTCCCTG